CATGGAGGAGGTCACGGGATACGTCATGGCAGCCATGGGGGACGACATGAGGGCGTGGGAGTTCTCGGCGGTGAAGGCGGCGGCGCCGGGGTAGTCGTAGCCGGCCGTGTTCTGCCAGGCGCTGCTCGCTGCGGGGCGAAGAAGGAAGCGGGTTAGTCACACTCACAATGAAAACCGGATGGCGATTGTCATGACAATAACAGGTGAGGCCATGTGATAAGGAGCAACCCGGGAAAGACAATCAACTTACAGTGATAGGCAGCGGCAGCGACTGCGGTGTGGTCTGCGGCCGCGGGCGGCGCGTACTGGTTCATGTAGGTGGAGGCGGCGGCGGCCGTGGCGGTGGGCACGGCGGCGGGCGTGGGCATGGAGGAGGACGACAGGCCGGCCAGTTGCTGGCTGCTGAGGTGCTTGCGCAGGCGCGCCCTGCGGTTGCTGAACCACACCTGGACGCGGGCCTCGGTCAGCTTGGCCCTGGAGGAGCAGAGGGTAAAGGTTAGTGCCACGTTCCTTTCGTCCTTCGCAAAAGTATTAAAAGGACGATAAACACAAAGCCAAAACGAAGTCACCGAAAGCGATCCGCGATACTCACTTCTGGGCCACCTCCTCCCTCGTGTAGACGTCCGGATACTGAGTCTTCTCGAAGGATCTCTCAAGGACCTCGAGCTGCTCGGCGGTGAAGGTGGTGCGGGAGCGCCTCTGCTTCCTCTTGAGGGGGATCCCCGGCTCGCTCTCCGTGTCGCTCTCGTCCGAGCCAGCGCCTCCTGTGGGGGAAGGAACCTGTCAGTCCTGTGGCTGGCGCTCCAGAGGCCGAGCGCTTGCGGCCTGGTTTACAGTGAACAATCAGAGTTGTGTAATTCAATGTAACTGTGTTGAGTAAAACCCTTTGGATGCACCTCCTTTTGTAGTGTTTTCCCGTAGGTAACGCAAAACCAAACAATATCCTTGTTCTATTCTCAGTCTGACTTATATTGTTCTCATTTTCTTTATGGAAAATCTTGAACTGTTTTCAAAATTTCACAAATGCGATTTAAAATGTTGCCAATTCATTCATTACCGCCACTTCTGTCCCGTAAAGGTTGATGTGTTCGAATGTCAGAAATAGACCTGACATTAATCTTATATGCCTTTGGGTGCTATGTATATGATATTACACAGACTAAAATAAATAAATTTTGTTAATTTGCCGGACTGAGAATCATATTTGGTTGATAAAGATTTGATAAATAAACTCAAATTAAGACTCGGTTGATCCGAAGTCGACGCGAACGGTTTCAGAGAAGGCCTTTGGTTTTGGCAAGTCATTGTTTCGGATGAAAACACGGCTTCTGGAGCTTCTCGTTTTCATTTCTGTACAAAAGAGCGAAGCCATCGCATTAAGCTACATAATAATGGTTAAGGAGTATTGAATCCTTCTTTGTGCGCCGCATAAAGGTGTGAATCCCGCCTCGTTGAGCCGCCTGTCGGAAAGCGCTCGTTTTTTTCTTCTTTCGCAATGTTCATCTGTATTTAAGAAACATAGCTGAACTTTTTTGCTGTTTCTTTCCCCCTAAAGTTGTTGGTTTTCTCTCTCTCTCTCTCTCTCTCTCTCTCTCTCTCTCTCTCTCCAAACACACACACTTTCTCTCTATCTCTCTCTGCTTCTCTTCCCCTCTGTATCTCTCTCTCCCTCTGTCTCTCTCTTTCCCTCTCCCTCCCTTTAGCTCTCTCCCCCCATCCCAGAGAACAGCAAGTGCGCGGGCGTGTGAGTGGGTGGGCCACCTTCACGGGAAGCCCATTAATGAAGTAACTAATAGTACCCAAGACCCGAGATACCCGCATGTGGATTCTGTTAACCCAGCGGGAAGTGAGGAGGCTCCACCACGCCGCTCTTTTTCTCCTTTTTTTTTTTTTTCTCGTTTTATTTTACTACAAAATTTTGAGCAAGTTAAGTTTTAGTTTCCCAGGCTAGTGAGAATGGTACCTGGGTGAATATGCGCGGTTATATTACCCCTTGAAATGGAAATATATCAAAGCTCGATATGTAAGGTTTATTTTGGTTATAAAATGATTGTGTCTAACGAAGAAACTGTAAGCATTATTTTAGATAAGAAAGATATCATTTTTAAACATTTTACCCTGTGATCACTAGTTTCCATCAGTATTATCTGTGTCACAATTAAGTGAAAATCAAATAAATTCCCCAAATGAACATGATCTTAAATTTTACTTTCTCCTTCCCCTCCTCCTCCTCTCTCCTCCCTCTCCCTCCCCTACCCCCACTCCTCCCCTACTCCCCACTCCCCTCCCCCTCCTACTCGCCCCAACAGACCATAATGGCGAAATCGTGAAACTATTAACGTCTCTTTTGCTTTACATCGCCAAACATTCTTATTTCACCGCGAAGACACATTTACTGCAGGAACACCAACAGAGCGGCGGGTTGGATGTGGCTCTCGGCGAGGTGGTCCCGCCAGCAGGTCCTGCGCGAGATGTTCGGCCCTCCCTCTCTCTCTATCTATCTCTTTCTTTCTCTCTCTCTCTCTCCATCTCTCTTTTTTTCGATTATCTCTCTCTCTCTCTCTCTCTCTCTCTCTCTCTCTCTCTCTCTCTCTCTCTCTCTCTCTCTCTCTCTCTCTCTCTCTCTCTCTCTCTCTCTCTCTCTCTCTCTCTCTCTCTCTCTCTCTCTCTCTCTCTCTCTCTCTCTCTCTCTCTCTTCTTCTGTCTGTTTACACGATCGCAGCGAATGGATACCAATTATAAATTTATTAACCCATCAATTCGATGATTCATCATCATGTATCGTTTTTCTTAGGTATCTAAAAATGTTGTTTTTCACGATTTACAAAGAGATTATTTAAAAATCAGAATTTTAGATGGCTTACACGACATTCGAATAATCTTAACGATATGTAAAACTTGCAGCATGATTCTATTAGGAAAAGGAAATTAAAAGATTCATTCTTTTCTCGTAAATCCCCGTGAGACTTGATACGAAAAATAAATGAATAATGAGGGACAATATCGTACATTTATTTTTTTATGATTAATCAAAAAGAATTAAAAAATGTACATATTTTGGGCTCCTTTTCTCTCGACGCCAAAGCGTGGGAAGAGAATCCGAAACGCAAGCAATAGGTGGAAAGGAGGATCGGATGCGCCTCGTAGCAATTTTGTCTCCGCAATTACGCTTAAATTCCATCCCGATCGCTATATTTCGTTTTCGTTATAGGGAGCACCCTAAAAGCGACATAACGGACAGGCATCGGAAAGGTTAATGTAGCTCGGTCAAAGGCTAATGGCGTGATTATCCCGAGTTTCGTGCGCGCCGCCCGGAATTCGCCGAATAAAATGTTTGACCGCGGAAGAGCCGTCGTCACGCGACTCGGCGGCGGCGGCGGCGACGGGAACGGCCCGCCAGCGCTCGCCGGGGAGTCCGCGCGCCAGCCCGTGGTCTGTGCGGCGGGGTGTACGAGTGTGAGCGAGTGTGAAAGTGCGCAAATATATATGCATATGGGTGTGTTTCAATCGGATCTATGCTTACGTTGATGTCCGCAAGTTGGCTTAGTGTGGTGTAATTGTTTGTGAATTTTGGGCAAGTTTGAAAAGACGAAGGAAATAATGCAGGTACTTACCGAGGATGCCATCGATGCTGTGGTCCTTCCTGGGGTCGTCGTCACGCCTTCCGCCTCGCAGGATGCGGCTGATGGAGCTGACGGAAGGAGCTGACATCTTGTCCACGATTCCCTCCTGAAGAAGGAGACAAAGTGCTGTTAGAATCACGATAACTAAACAGAATGTCTTAAACACAATTTTGATCCAACACAAACAAACACTAAATGAGATATGAAAAAATATTTTTTCTTATTATATCAGCATATTATTTTTTTCTCTTATCAATTAGTTTTATAAAATCGAAACCTCCCCCGCCCATCCGCCCGAAAACCAAACACCCCGCCCCCACCGCGCCACGGCAAAGGCCTCCCAAGATGTTTATTTTCCGAAAGATCTCCCCCCCCCCCCCATTAGCCTCCCCAAATGAGGGCGGATTGACTCGCCGATGCTTTGTCGCGGCTGACGTGGCCATGACAGCTGCCCCGCCCACCCGGCCGCGCGGATCGCCTCACGCCCGCGCCCGCCGCCCCGGGACAAGGGATTATCGACAATGCTGATAATTGTAAGAAGAGATTAATCCCCCGATAGCGCTAATGTAGCCTCTTACCCCCTCTCCCCCTTCCCCCCTCCCCCCTCCCGGAGTGGCGATGAGGGTGGCCTCGGGGCGCGCTGGGGACTGCCAAGAGAAAAAGGAAGGAAAAAAAGAGGATGCAGAAGGATGAGGAGAAGAGGAGAGAGGAGAATAAGAAGAAAAGGAAAAGAGAGAAGATGAAGAGAAAAAAGTGGGAGGATGAAGAACACGAGGAGGAGGAGAAGAATAAGAATAAGAAAGAGAAGGCGAAGAGGAAGAGCAGGAGGTTAAGAGAAGGAAGAGAAGAGAAAAGAAGAAAACCCCCCCCCTGCTCACCCCCCCCCCCCTACACACGCACAGCATCATGCTCAAGCGCGCCAGAAGTCAGCGAGATCAACGCGGATTTCTTTATCTCCAGCATCTCTGTCGGTGACCCCCCCTCTCTACCCACCTTCAACCCACCCACCCCAAGCCCACCGACGGCCAACTTGACTTCTTAATCCGAATCAATCTCTAGTTTTTCCCAAATTGGCTTTCGGTGGAAAAGGGGCATCTGCCGCTTGTCTGTCAAAACCACTCACGTATACACGCACACCACACACACACACACACACACACACACACACACAACACACGTACATAGAGAGCCTTGCTGAATGTGAACTGCCGAGTCGGTTTGAAAACGTTTGTAATATCTAGAAATATTCACCCGGTATTTCTTTTTTTGGCAATGCTTCCCGTGAGATTACCAACACAGCGGATAGATTTAATAGCCTTCAACATTACCCTTGATTACTGTTATTACCATAATCATCGCTGCCTCGGTGCTACTGACGCCCTTATCGCCAAGAACATCGACGAACCAATAACAATAAACGCAGTAGGAGTCGCTGCGCCCACGATCGAGGCCAGACGTCGATCAGGGCGGCGAGTCTCCCAGCGCCCTTGCTGAGCGCAGGCGACAGGTTGCCCGCCTCCTATCATTGCAGATTATCTCTTCTCCTCCTACTCTCTCTTTCTCATCCCCTCTCTCTCTGTGTATATATATGTATATATATATATATATATATATATATATATATATATATATATATATATATATATATTATATATATATATATACACACACACACACACACATAGTTATATATACACATATTAAACACACACACACACACACATGTGTGTGCGTGCGGATGTGCCCATCTTAGTTGATTAACAATAGTTCCTTTGTGGCTGAATCCCGTAAATCCACCTCCACTCTGCACGAGATCCACCCAACGCCCTCGTTCCACGGCAATGAATACGAGCCCCTGTACACATAACTAAATCTCTAAATGATCTCTGAAACCAGTGACCAGCGGCGCTCCGCCCAATTGACCTAGGATGACCTGACCTCCTGGATGATTAACTGGATGAAGTGCTTAAGCTCATCAGTACAAGTGCCTCCTAATTGACCCCCCCTCACCCCCCTTCCCTTAATTTGTGTCAGGTTTGGAGAAATTAATTTCTAATAAATATTTTCTTAAAATTACTGTAGATGTGATATGATCGTAAACGGTGTTAATAATACTGACAAAAATAATTAAGAAAATAACGATTTGATATTGAAACTAATGAACATAAAAATAACAAAGTTCATTAAACTGGAAAATGAAATTAAATGAACAACAATAACCAAAGAATAATAAAACCAAAAATCTATTTAAACAAAAAAAATACCATTTCTAAAATCATTAACGTCATCACCATCAAAACCAGCAAAAGTAGGAAACAATCATTTTTTTTTCAGACGAACTACAATTTCCCTGTTCATGAAACTAAACCCTTGTTTTGGAACCCTGTAACAGCCCAATGCAAAGGCTTCCCCTGCAAGCCCCCGCCCTCCCTCCCGCCCTCCGGTGTGTCTTCCCCGCCCCCGCAAGACACTTTACCTTGATGAGCCTGTCTCTGATCTCCCACGAAAACACGCCGGGATTGTCCTTTTTATAGTCGTCGATCTTTTTCTCGACGTCAGGCGTGGTTACCTTAGGCTTGGACCCGCCGATGACGCCGGGCCGGATGGAGCCGGTCTCCTGGTACCGGTTGAGGATCTTGGAGACGCAGCCGTGGGACACGCGGAGCTGCCGCGAGATCACGCAGGGGCGCACGCCCGCCGCCGCCATCTCCACGATCTTGAGGCGGATGTGGTTGGGCAGCGGCCGCCCGTTGATGAACACGCCGCCCAGCTGGTTCACGCGGCCCTGTCCTGTGCAAACACCACCAGCTATTTTGAGTGTTAGGAAATATCTCATTTCGTAAGGATTATATCGACAATAATACTAATAAACATATCACACCAAGATAACTATAACAGAATTAAAATAAAATAGTAATAAAACATATAGCATATACATTCCACATTCCATGTGTAGACTTCCGACCACAGATAATGCACGATAATAGTCTGCCATCCCTGACTTCATCAAACAAGCAGTCTGAACTCTCAGTAATTTTCGTGTCACCGGCAAAGGCCAAAAAACAGAGATCATGACATTGGTGATGACAGCACTTCCACGTCAGGGACCGCCGAGGCCCTAATTGCCTCCGATCGTAATGACTCAATCCCGCTCCCTCCCTTCGCGCCGCTTCCTTCCTGTCCCCGTGATGGCGTGTTCCGCGAGCGGTCGTGCCCGCCGCGTGACGACTCCCAGGCCGATGACGGATTGATCAACATGATTAGCAGCAATTCGGCGGCGGATCCCGACATCGCCGCCGAGAGCCGCCGACCGAGTCATCCCGCGGGCGGAAACGCAGCGCGACGCCTGTCCGCCTCTTGCAAATTATGAGCTACAGCGGCAAGTGTCCGCATGCAATCGTCAAATTTATCTATTGTTGCAGTCCTCAGTGACTGCGGATTGACATCGGTAGTGATTTGCAATGCATGACAGATCTCTGATCACAGTAGTTACTGTATGAACACTGGTTAGCGTGGAATGTATTTGCTATATATTTCCCTACTGTAGAATTACTGATGTTTGTGAATCTCTAATATAAATTCCATTAGAGGGAGTGGTTTAGTATGTTTTTTTTAAAGTTATTGTGTATAAGTAAATAACTATAAAATATTCTAACAAACAAATAAGATAAAAATTCTTACCCTGGAAGGGATATCCCGAGAATATAGGTCTAATAGTCATATTGTCCTGTCGCACTTGCAGCACTCCGACGAAAATTTATAAAGCCTCTCCTGGCACTCCCGAAAAGGAAAGTCAAAGTCTCCGCCGAACACTTCCGATCACCGAACACCTCGGTCAAATACAAGACACTGTTCCTGTTCCTCTGCCACCCACAAA